AAGTGGGAGGCGCACATGTTGCAGTACCTTTCAAGTGATTAAAAAAAGTTTTGTATTTTACAAGTATTTATGTACATATGCACACATATTGTCGATTGTTTGATGTCTACCTGTGCCAAATGCTGACGACGATCAGCAACATTATATTTCAGCCACGACATGACAGCATTGAAAACTTGCTCCTCTGAACGTACGTTCAATTCATCACTACAAATGATGTCTACAAGCTGTCCGACTGGCAGCAGCAAAAATTCTTCGCTTTCCATTACTTCCTGGAAGTTGTGTTGTGTGAATTTGTCCGCGATGCGCAAAAGTTCTCGACATGAGTGAGTATCGGCAAAGGCGCGAATGCCCAAGCAGTTGGTTGGATCCAATTGACGCTTGAGAAATTCGCAGCAAATATCTTGTATTTCGACTAATTGCAACAAGCAAGCGGCTGGCAATAAAGTCTGCACATTGGATTCTTCGACAATTATATGAGCAGTGTAGCAAAAATCGATGAGTAGTTCCATGGCATTTTCGTCAATATCACGTATGGTTACTTCAGTTTGTCGTGATTCCTCCAGCTCACCAGTGAACATTGCGCGAAAGTAGGGACTGCATGCGGAGAGGATGACACGATGTGCAAATATCTTGCGACCACCAACATTGAGTACCACATCACAAAGTTCGCGATGGCGTCGGAGCATATTCAATTCGGACAATGTTACCTTGGGGTGCTTTTCCGAGGTGTGCGAAAGTCGTGCAGGTGACGGTGGCCGATCTATAGCGCCGGTGGAGGCGCCAGTGCTACCGGCCGCACCTGGCAGCATAGGATCGCCCATCCTGTTCGCCGCTAAACGCAGCGGGGCAGAAGCCCAACCCCACACCGCGTCTATCTGCAATGTATGTGTAGGAGTAGACGAAACGATAAAAAATATTTGTAAGCCTAAAAAAATGTAGGTAGCAAGCACGCATTTAGAATTCATTATGACCGAAAAATAATATTCATTTGTAGGTGCATGCAGCTGTGGTAAGATTTAATCATTACTTTAATTCAAATAATTCTATGTTAGCTAAAAGTTAGGTAACACGTACAATTTATCTACACCCACTCAACTCCAATAATACTACAAGTATCTATTTGCCTAAGAACTAAGAAAAACTAAAGTAACTTTATTTGCCCACTCACATCTCAGTTGTTCCACTGATGCCCACATCAGCTGTCGGCAGCCCCCACATCAGCGCACAAACAACAAAGAAAATATCTGTGCCACTGCCATTGCCTGACGAACAACTTTGCCTACTTTATTCGAGCTAATTAAGAATTACTACTTAACTACTACTAACTTAATTAACGCGCACACACTAGCAGCTATACATAAGTATAGATGTGCAAATCTTTACATACCTTAGCGTTTTTGTCAACGACAAGCCCAAAACACCACGACCAACTCCAAGTAGCAATTCTCGAAAATGCAATTTTCGCAGTTTCCTCAGTAGCTTCGTTGCATTGAAATTTCTAATATGTAAAACTTTTCAATTGCGACAAATACAAAGTGTACGTCGAATTTTATTTTTCACACTTTTTTGTGCCCTCAGCTAAGCAACCGCCGACCTTCCTCCAAATTGTTCGCCTGCGTGATTGCTACCACCGCCCTAGCTGGTGCCACACCGTTCTGCTGTTGCGTTTGCCCTATCTTTCGTTCGATTTTGCAAGGTAGAGTTTGCAAATGTAATCTTAATGCGATCACCAGCAGGAAATTAACTTATTATTGCGTTATTTTTATATCTGCACTCATCTTTGATATTTTTTCACCAATTTTGTAAGTATTCCGCAATAATTTTCATGAAAACATAGGAAAATGGTCACTTTTTCTCGATTCACTTTACTGCACAAACACCAACACGCATCCGACTGGCAGCGCTGCCAGATGTATCACTAAGTATTGCATGTGAACTTGAATTGACCAATGCGTTGAAATAAAAAACTTTATTAATGCAATATACTTTAAATCTTTTAAAGAATAAAATTGATACCAGAAAGTTTGAACCAGCGAGTTTTATTAGTTGCATACACATAAATGGTTATTTAAGAGCAAAAGTTAAACACATCTGGCAGCCACTTGCGATGCGTTTGCATATTTTGTGGAGATTTATTAAAATCGGAACAAGGCGCTTCATATGTAATAAAAATCAAAAAAAATCAGGTGATAGTAAACTAAATTTATTTTAATTTTCTTATTATATCCGGTACGGTATTCAGAAGTGGGAACTAGCTTTACTGCCGTCCCTAAATTGGAGCGCTAAGCGTTGCATTTTTCATTGTCAACGAGTGTCACCGCGCGCTATTCCCAAATCAACGCGGCGTAATTTTTGGATGTTTTCTCAGGTTCTCTCATTTTTATTCTTGTTTCCTCTTTCACTTTTTTGTCCTTTCTCTTCTTTCCGTCTTCTGCATCCAACTTCATCACGTAACGCCCTGTCGCCAAAAATGAAAATTCCATATGTTCGGCGTTAGCGCCGAGCTATTGTGGGATGCTTCATACAAATTGTATGGGCATGAGATTTTTGACAGTAGGTTCTTTCCCTAAAAATCCGGACCGGATCCGGTAATTAGAGAATAAAAGTTTGCTCTCAAAAAACACATTTCGTGCCCAGAATTTGTGAAACAGCTAGTGATGTGCTGAATTTTCGGTTCTCAATACTCGGTACCCAATACTTAAAAAAAATTTCGATACCCAAAAAAAAACTTTAATTTCTAATTTATATGATATCGGCTAAAACACTTGAACTTATCGCAACAGAGAAATATTATTTTATCAGTTTTAATCTTAGTTGCTCCAAGGTTCAAGAAAAATGCTTTTACCTGTACCCAGTTAGCGACAAGTTTCGGATCGATATCGCACTTGTTGACGTAAAAATATTTCATATCATACGTCAACAAAGCCGATGCCGATTCGAAAATTGTCGCTAACTGGTTATAGAATCCGACCCCAGGCCTACAAAAATGATAACGTCCGCTTCAGCCGGAACAAAAATGCTTCAAACAAGTAAGAGTTTCTCTGAATTAACCAACATATATACAAATTTCATTTGAATCCGTATTAAAAGCTCTATTGGCTCCTACATTCGGGATTTTATAGGCGAGTCTCCCCTGAACCGGGTTTTTCCATATTTTTGACCTATATGCTTTTTTCGAAACCTAAATGTTTTGGTATCGAGAGTATTGGATAGTTTTTAAATCGGTACTGAATATCGATTAATACTTAAAAGTATTAGGAGTGTTTCTTAACTTTTTACAGCTGTTGATAAAAGATTGGCGAAGAGTATAATTTTACGCACAAAGACATCGAAAGAGGAAAAAGTAAAGAAACGAAAACTAGCAGAAATTTGCAATCACCGTATACACACACACATATATCTTCAAATGCATGCACAAATCCTTACATTCTGCAACATTTCAATGTGTTTTGATAACGATGCACTCATTTTGTTTTATTAAAACGAAGTAAAATAAACTTGCCAACTTTTTCCTTCTGCGTTTTGAACAGCTGCTTCTTGAACATATGACTGCAAATTTCTGTTGGCAGAAATTTCGCCAGCAGAAATTTGTAGCTCTCTCGGTCTTTTATGCTCTCTTTTTGGCAAATGCAAATTTCTTGTGTTAAGAAACGCTTTCTAGCAGAATCCAGTAAAAATTTATGATAATTATCTGTTAAGAAACAAAGTTATTGACTCAGCACTTCACTAGAAACAGCTGATTCGCGCTGTTTTTGTTTTTGTCACTTACAGGTCTATTCTGCACGTTACCGAAGATTTTGTAACCGGAAAATTTTATTACCAAAAAATATTACCAGTTCTTGTCACCGCGATTCTAGGAACGTTGGTAATGCAATTAAAATATTCAGAAATTCAGCTATGAAGAATTGTGCAAATTCTGGCATTGCATATTTCACGGGGCAATACTTAGTTACCAGCTTATGAGATGGTAACAAAATTTACCGGTTACAAGAATACACAGAATGCGAAAAGGGTTTAAAAATTGATAGGAACTTTATTTACCGGTTACAAACTTTTTATTACCAGCGCAGAATAGCAATTTAAACAAAATCATGGCACAGTGACAATCATAAGCGACAACGAAATATGTGCAGCACCTTCAATCATGCCAGAAGAAATCGACCGTTGTGCAAGAAACATTGATTTTTATTAATTTGAATCGGCATCCTTACAATAAAATTATGTATTCATATAAAGTCCTTTATGGACACCAATAAAAATTTGGTGCTTTTTCAAATTTAAAACTTGGCAATACTGCCTTTTGTTCTATGCTTCTTCTTTTTCTTGTCGAGTACGTCTTGCTCTCTCATGCTGGTATATTTTGGTCGGTGTTACAGTGGCTACACACGACGAACATATCCGCGCACATGCGCGGCTTGCGGGTGATGTTCGTCGTTTGTAGGGCGGTTTTCGAGCATGCTCGCCAAAAATCAAAAAATTTTTATTTCAGCGAGCATGCTCGTCGTTTGTAGCGTGGTTTGCGAGCATCGCATTGGAAACAAAAACAACAACCTCATTTTGTGTTGATGCTTGAAGTGTGCACATCGGCGGATAAATGCATCCAAGCCATGTTATTCAATTGAATTTTTGATAAATGAGGCTAAATTACTATAAGTATACGTATGTACGTACATACAAGTAAAATATAAATAAATTTAAGTAACACATACATAAAAAAGTTAAGTTAAAAGCATTGCAATTGCATCATCCGCGTCTTTCCTTTCCATGTTTACGCTTTGAGTACAAAATCACTTATGAGCCGCTCGTCGTCTGTAGCAAACGACAGCGAGCATGTTGGCGCATATATGCGCGCAGATATTCGTCGTGTGTAGCCAGTTTGATGAAGCAGACAAATTTTATTTGCCAAATTAAATGGCGGCTGCTTAAACTATGTTCGCATTACCAACATAAAATACTTAGTTTCGTTTAAAATACCTCACTAAGGGTCGTTTGCACCATGTCTAGTTAATTCTAACTCCCAGTTAAACATCTTTATCGACGTTATCGACACCCATCATATAACATATGATCGATAAAGCAGTTGACGTGCTTAACTCAAGGATGTACCCTTAGGCCCCTTAGGGCCGTTTGCACCATCTCTGGTTAATACTTACCCCCAGTTAAACATTGTTACCGACGTTACCGACCCAATGTTAAATGAATGGAGTCAGTACCGTCGGTAACGATGTTTAACTGCGGATTAGTGTTAACCAGAGATGGTGAAAATGGCCCTAAAAGGGATCGCGAATGTGAGTAATTGCGTATATTTTTATATTCTGAGTTGCTTGTGGTAATTTTTTAGATTTTAGATGAGTGATCAAAAGAGAATGCTTCTGGAAATATTTTACAAACAAGATTGGCCTCTAAATTACGCCAATGGGAACATAGTTTTAGTTTGCTCCGAGGTGGTTATGTCGAGTTTGGCACAGGGTTGGTTTTCATGGCTATTGCCAACACGAAATGAGAATTTTGTGTATAGCAACAATTGTCTAAAATTTTTGTATATGACAACGCCGAATTTGCGGCAGTTTGACCAAACAAAATTAGTTTGCTGTGAGAGTCGCCAAACTCGCTCCCACCGAGTTTGTTGCAACAACAATTGCACGCAGTTTGCCAAACAAAATTTCTGCATAAAGGCCCGTCCACATAGAACTTTGGCGTTGCGTTGGCGTTGGCGTCGTTTCAACAGCTGACTATAAATACATGAATTCAAATGCAGCCGTCCACATAGCCGAAATTCGACAACGCTCACGCCAACACAAAGCAAAAAGATGGCCAACTCTCAACTTTTCGCGTACGTTGCTCGTCAGCTGTTGCAAATAAATACAATTATGTGAAATATTTTTCCTTTTCAATCAAGTGCGGGCAAGAAATATCTTTTTTAGTGCAATTATTGATATGAAATATTAATTAATCTCTCGTTAGTATGTTAATTTAGTGGCCCAAGCATTCGCTGCTAAACGTTCATTGTAGCAAGCATACTTTTAACGTGCGTTCTGTCAAACCAACTCCAACGCCAAAGCCAACGCGAAAGTTCTATGTGGACCGGCCTTAACACCGACCAAAGGCCACGTCACGGCCAGTTGCTCTCAGCTCGATTGGCGCAATCTTGTATTCTATCATTCTTGTTTCTGGGCTATTTTGGGCACACGCGGGATTCCGCGTTGCGTACGGGAGAGAACCTCATGAACCAAAAACACAAGATCACGTAAGAACGCGACGTTGTATTTGTAACTGGTTTTGAGAAAAAAGTTTGCGAAAGCGGGTTCGTCAGCTGAGCGTTTGTTTACATCACAAGCACCACTATTTTACACTTTTATTCAAGTAAAGAAGAGTTAATTCAACATGACAACACATTTTAAAGCATTTTGTTGCATCATTTTACCTAAATTGTGCGTTTAAAGTGGCTGACAATAATTTTGGCTAATTTTGGTTTTCGTTGGTTTGTTTGCTTTGTTTACTTTTCGCTAGTCTTCCAGTGAAACAAGATGGCGTAGAACCCGCTAAAAAATCGACCTTTTTCACTCTCTTGTTCTTACGTGATCTTGTGTCTTTCGTTCATGAGAGAACCTAGTTGCTTGGCGCTTGAAGAGCCTATTTAGGGATGGCAGTTGCTATCACTGTTGCCAGACATTAGCTTTCCCAACCAAAACTGGTAGGTTTTCTTTCCGTTTGGTAGGTTGGTTAGCTTGATTGGATTTTGGCAGATTCCTCGACAATAAGAAATAGTTATTTCCGAAAAATATAAAATATTTATCTCCAAACATTGTAGCAACCTTGTTTTCACGGAAATTTCATCGGTGCCTTCGTATGACGGCGAGCGTAAAGATGTAAGTATACATACCTGATTCGTAAGTACAACTCCATGTTATATGCATGGACAATAAGTACATCCAAGGTATATACTTTATGTGCCTACAACCATCTTTTCATCCAATCAAAAAACGCACTAGGGCAAAAGAGAATTATAACGAGTTGTCCCTTCTTGTTACCTATATTCTTTGGTTCTTTGATAATAGTTGTGCTTAATGAGACCAAAAAAAGTTCAGAGCAGCTCAAGTTAGAGCAGAATCGAGCAGATGTCAAAAAAACAATAGAGCAAGTTAGAGCAACTCAGTTCACAAATCTCATGAAACACTTTTCAGGCAGAATTCTCAAAACGGTTGCTTGCTCCAAGTTACTCCATCAAAAAAGCTGCTCTAGTTCCACTTAGCGCAGGCTCATGAAACAAAAACCAGAGTAAGTTAGAGCAAGAAAAATCCTCATGAAACACAATTTTGTGAGATATATTAAAATGGCGTAACCAAAGATTTACCTTCTTTGGCGTAACCTAGAGCAGCTCATTAAACCTAACTAATATGTATGTGTAAATATTTGTGTAAGTCTGTACAATAACATTAAGGGCCGGTTACTCAATGTCTGGTTAACAGTAATCTCCGGTAAAACATCGTTATCGACGTTACCGACTCCATGTAATATGCATGGAGCCGAACACGTCGATAATGATGTTTAAACGGAGATTAGTGTTAACCACAAATTGAGTAAACGGCCCTAAATGTTATACGTAGTTAATTTGTTTTCATTGTACTAGCTGTGTTTTAGTTTTACTTAGGGCCGGTTACTCAATGTCTGGCTAACACTAATCTGAGGTTAAACAACGTTATCGACATCTTCGGCTCCATGCATACAACAGGGAGTCGGTAACGTCGATAACTATGTTTCGCCGGAGATTAGTGTTAACCAGACATTGAGTAAACGGCCCTTAGTGTTATGTTATCTACCTTTTTAATAAACTGGCATTGGATAAACAATTAAGCGCCGGTTACTCAATGTCCGGTTAACACTAATCTGCGGTTAAACATCGTTAGCGACGTCTTCGACTCCGTGCATACAACCGGGAGTCGGTAACATCGATAACTATGTTTAAACGGAGATTAGTGTTAACCAGACATTGAGTAACCGGCCCTAATCAATTGGTCTTGGTAGGAAATTTTGGTTGGAAAAAAATAGTTCATGGCAACACTGGTGACTATTATTTTATATGATTGAAATAGCAAAACATGCGGTTGGCAACGCGAGTGAATGTCATTTTCGCATTATGCTCCAGACGGTCGGTGAAAGTTTGAGGAAAAATAGCTTTTCTTGAGGTGTATCAACACGGGCAGTGCAAACTGAGACAGTACATAAAATATTCCATTTACAGCTAAGAACCAATATATCAATCGAAAGTAAGCTAAAAATAAACATAGAACAATGCAAAGTGTTTTAAACACTGTCAAGGGTACGGCGTTGAATGTGGCCGAGTACCTTACTCCTGTACTGAAGGTGACCATAAATTGGAGCTACAATAATGCAAAAAGCACATAATCGATACGATATTTTTTTTAGGAATCTAAATTTCGTGAGACTGGCGTATTGACTCCAGAAGAGTTTGTAGCAGCCGGTGATCACTTGGTGCATCACTGTCCCACCTGGCAGTGGGCTGCGGGTGATGAGTCAAAAACGAAGCCGTATCTACCGAAAGGTTAATTCAATAGCTAGAATGTAGTTTTTATTCACTAAACTACCTCTATTCTCGCAGATAAACAATTTTTAATCACGAGAAATGTGCCATGCTACAGGCGTTGCAGACAAATGGAATATGTGGGTGAAGAGACGGTAGTTGAAGAAGAGGGCGGTGATGGTGGCTGGGTCGAGACGCACCAACTGAACGAAGATGGTACTGCCGAATTGGAAGAAAAAGTTTGCGAATTGACACTTGACGAAAGCAAAGTTTGCAAAAACAAAGTAACTAAATAGAACGCCTACTTAAATTAATTTTTTTTAGGATGAAATGCGTACACCTGATAGTGAGAAAAGCACCAACGGACCAGGTGTGGCTGATGATGATTGCGATGACGATGAAGATGATGACGAAGCGATTGATATGGACGAATTTGAGGAGAGTGGCATGTTGCAGTTGGTAGACCCCGCTGTAGCAACTACAACACGTAAAATAGAACTTGACTCGACAACGAAGAGCTCTAATGTTGCTGAAGCAACGGGTGGTGGTGATGCTACAGACTCAGTTTTGCACACACGTACCTATGATTTACACATCAGTTACGATAAGTACTATCAGACGCCACGTCTTTGGGTAGTCGGCTATGATGAGGTAAATACATTTTCTTACGGTTTTCTTTCATGCTTCAATACATGATTATTTTTTGCCACCAGAATCGAAAACCACTGACTGTCGAACAAATGTACGAAGATGTTTCGCAAGATCACGCCAAGAAGACTGTCACCATGGAAAGCCATCCACATTTGCCTGGTCCAAATATGGCCAGCGTACATCCATGCCGCCATGCTGATATCATGAAGAAAATCATACAAACAGTTGAAGAGGGTGGCGGAGAATTGGGCGTGCACATGTATTTGATTATATTTCTGAAATTCGTGCAAACTGTTATACCGACTATTGAATACGATTTTACGCAAAATTTTAACATGTCTTAAATTAACTATTTGTACTCGCCAATCTTAGGCAATGCTTTTGATCACTACGTAAGAAATGTTAAGTACTATTTTTTTAAGATTTATACTTTAAAAACGGCTTAAATTATGTACGACATTAGATATTAAAAATTTTGTATATGATTTATTAAACCATACACCATCAATATAAAAATATATACTTTGTTCTTGCAATAAGCATGTATTTAAAACACGTCTGATAGAAAATGCTTTAATTCCGTTTTACTATTTTCGCACACACATTTATGATAAGATAAAAAAGTGAATGTTTTAAGCCATGCTTTGTATTTATAAGATTCATTGCAAAGCAAAAGAATAAATATAAACTCGCTTTACGATTGAAAAAGAACAAAGCCTAGTGACTTTATTGTAAATGAATGTTAACCTCGTAACTGTTGGAGTAGTTTTAAAAAGTTACAATTTCCTGGATTTACGTTCTGCTCAAAATTTACGATCCTCACTTTTTCAAAATACCTTGGCTGGCTAATACAAAATGTGGCAGCATTTCTGATCTCCTTCCAATTGGCTGGCAACTCATGCTTGACATTCCGATCAAGGCACATAAATACAGGTAGAAGCCAAAATGACGTTGCTCTCATGAGAACCA